GATCAGGCAAAACGGGAATAAACATTTGATCGTGGTTTTGGCCTCAGATGAACATTCAGAGAATGGCTCAGGGGTGACCTTACTGCTCTCTGCAACTTCCTGAAAGGTTGTAGGCAGGTGGGGCTCGGTTTCTTTTACCAGGCAGCAAGCAACAGGATGAGAGAACAGAGCCTCAAACTGTGACGGGGGGGGTTTAGGTTGCACATTAGGAGGAATTTCTTCACGGAAAGGGCGATTAGGCATTGCAACAAGCTGTCCAAGGGGGTGATGGAGTCACTGTCCCTGGAAGTGTTTAAGGAAAGACTGGATGTGGCACTTAGTGCCATGGTCTAGTCGGCAGAGTGGTGTTTGGTCATAGGTTGGACTCGATGATCAGAGGTCTTTTCCAGCACAGTGGGATTCTCATGTGTGTAATTCAAGTAATGCTGGAACTGGAGCAAATGTAAGTAACAGGCTCTTCCTTGGATGCCATATGTTAGGAACATCATTTGCAAGTCCATCCTTGTTCAGACCCCTTACTGTTCAGGTTTTGTGATGAGTGCAAATGTACCCTTTTCACTGCGAAATAAATTCACATTTTTCAAATAACAGCTAAGGAGGAAGTATTTTATATCGATGAGTACTCAGCATTGCAGATTGGCAAATCATCACCTGATGTTCCAACATCTCTTACCATATTCTACTTCTCTCTGAGAAGGAATCTCCCCTGCACTCCCCATCCTCTCATCTACTCTGGCTCTCAGGGGTGCAGCCTTATTAATTTCATGCAGTGTACAGTGAAAATCTATCCATATTTATTTTACTTCTACAAAAACTGAGGATTTGCTAGCTGACACTATGAGTACATGGTAGAACAAAACTTCATCTTTCCTTACAATGTTTTCCTTCACCCACAATGTTAACTTATTTTTTCATCTGCTTACTTGTTTTGAAAGACCCTTTTTTTCCTTTGTATAAACATTCAAGAAGGCACGACTAACTAAACTAGTGTAAACAGAATTTTATTTAAAAGATTTCATCGTTACATGATGGATTTGTACTGATAAAATGTTCTATCAGGGCACTCGTTGGGACAAAAGGCCAGGTTGGACAGAGCCACAGTGCCCATGCCTATGTAGTTACACCTGGAAGGCTCCTGTAAAGAAACCTGTGCATATGGTGAGACAAGTGCCATGGTGCATCACAACAGATAGCTCTGAACAAAGCCCAAAACAATAAGCAGTGCACATATAAGAACGTTTTAGGATACTTATTACTCTTTCAGATAATTGCATATATACATACAGGTGTGTGTATATATGTGCATGTATTATTTGGCAGTTGTTACTCTGATTAATGTCCTTTTAACAGAATACTTTTCATTTGCACAGGTCAGGCAGGATGTGGTACTAGTTCTGGTTAGATTACTGCCCTCTACATTTGAGCTCGCTGTAATCAGTGGTTGTCTTCCTGTTCCTTATTCTTCATTTCCTCAATGCTGAGAGACACTATCAGCATTCGTAAATCTAAGTGCTGCTACCGGTATCTGATATTTTTATTGATTTGTTTTGACTAAGTGTTTACCTGGTTATAAACCTAATTCCTCTACTTGTGTGCTTCCTTGAGATGAATTCTTAAAACACTTTACAGGCTGCCCAAAGCAGAGCAAGTATAATGGTGCAGCAACGTTCAAGCACAGATTAGATTCCGTTGCTAAGCTAAATTTTTGTATCCTGATGAGAATCTGCCCTAGGCATACAGTCTAAGAATAGCAGAGGCCATGTATGATTAGATTCAGGGACTGTTCCTGCGCAGATAAATTAATAAACATTCATTTTTATACTATGAAATAGATAATCACAGTAATTTATTAATTATATGTTAGCCCAATATGTGTTTTTCAGTTGCACTTCATAGATGTGTTACTAGACGAGCAAAAAAAACCCATTTGGAATCATTTTGTAATTTAAAATCAGTCTATTTTGTAATTTAAAATCAGATGACAATACTAAAAAAAGGCAGTGTGGCCTTGGATGGTAGTTCAGTATCTGCAGTGATCTGAAGGGTGGCCCATTACTTTTTTGCATTCTGCATACTATATGCACTGAAGTGCCAAAGTCCTGCGCCCAGATGATTTCAGACAATTCCTTTTCCAGTGTGACCCATCGATAAGGGAAGCTGTATTAAGGAGAACAAGACTCCCTGTGTTTACTCTTTTGACAAGGATTTGAAAATGCAGCAGATTATATACTTGTACCAATGTCTCCAGTGGGGCAGGTGTGCAAGGACAGGTGAGAAATGACCAGACCACCTATCTCTGTAACCTTGCACCCTGTTCCAGGAGCCTTACAAGCTCTAATTCTGTGGACTAGAAAGAGAGAGAGAGAGAAATCTGTTATTTTCTGCAAATGTAGTCTAGGCAATTATTCTTGCAATCAAATAATTATTTCCTGTATTGTTGGATTTCTTTATTAGTATGCACTGTGCCAAATAATTGCTTTCAGGCTTTTGATTTAAGTGGAAATAATACTAGGGATATTTAATGACTGTTACATTACTCTTCATCTTGAAATACAAAAATAAACAAAGCTTTCATTAGTCTTCAATCCATTATTCATGTACAGACATTCACTGTATGTTTTCTGGCATTCAAAAGTAGTAACTCCAGCCTTAGCACTACAAGTAATGCTAACTAGTCACACTTGAAAACATTCAATTTTAGTTATTTTATGATCGTAGAGTCATATGGTCTGGGTTGGAAGGGACCTTAAAGATCATCCAGTTCCAAACCCCCTGCAATGAGCAGGGACACCTTTCACTAGACCAGGTTGCTCAGAGCCCCATCCAATCGTCTTTAAAAACTTCCAGGGCTGAGACATCCACAAATACATGCTCTAACATAAAGCAATAAAATAGTAAGTCATTTGCAGTGTAGAGACTGTGAATGTTGGCAAGCCATTTGAAGATATTCTTTTGAAAACAGGTCATTTGGAGAGAACATAAATACTACTAAATGGTGTCATAGGCTTCTTAACCCATTAAAACACCTTCAATCAGCTCTGCTATCAGTGATGTAAAAGAGAAAAATAAAAGGCTGTCAAGCTCTTTCTCAAACTTCAGTGTTATATATAAGTATATTTGAATTTAAATAGTACAGTCACTTATTTTAGGAAGTGTGAAAACACAGGACAAACACAAGGGATCATATTAAGACATAAACATTGGAAAACAAAACATTCTCAGTTGCAATCTTTACATTGCAACACCATACAAAAAACTGGCTTGTATACCCAGGAGTGTTTCAGATGAAAAAGTGTTGTTATGCTTGTGATAGATTAGATTTAACTATTAAAAAATGATATGTGCTAAGAGCAGAATTAGTGTAAAGTATGATCTGAGACCTGTTTCTGTAGGCGAAGCAGAGACAAAGCAGGCAATGAAGTGCCTGCTTGTTTAACACACTCACACGAGAACTGTAAATATTAGAATGGATATTTACTGCCATCACAGAAAGAACTTCCTCTACAAAAGATGACTGTATGGGTAGTGTAGATGTTGTACATGGAACCACTTCTGCAGAACATTTTTCTTCAGAGAAATAACTGCAGAAAGACAGTGACTGAAAAGAAAATGAGAAGGCACATGGAACATGGGAAAAAACCCAATAACCCACAATTACTTATCCACAGCGCTGAATAACAGTTAAGAACCAAACTGGAAGGGAACACCAGGGAATACTGCTGTAGGGGAGGCTGTCTGGAATGATAATAATCCTTACTATAGCACAGAAAACTGAAAGGTGTAGTAGATGCTAGAGTATCTGAAAAGCCATTTATAAAGGAGGATCACAACACTGCTACATATCCTGGCCATATCCTCTGTGGTGGTAGGAACTGGTGTAGCTCCACTGAAGGAGAGAGAACCAAACTGATGCTCCTCATCTGAGGACCAGGCCCAATGATTTGTGAGATAGGAGCATTCACAGGCCATTTTATAGAATGAATATATTTCAGTTCTTTTGTTGATGATCACTTTTCTTCCATGGCTTGAGTACTAGAGGTGAAAAATTTGCATTTCTGTTCTGCAGTTTGCTTGAAGCAAAGAGGATGTTTTGCATTAGTTGAGGAGATATCAACTCACTAAAACACTGATGCATGGTTTAGTCAATTATTTTGTTATACAACACGATGTGTGATATATATTTAAATTAAAAAAAATAATCTGTGCTTAAATTCAAAGATGACTTGCTGGCATTCCTTTGTGAGATAGTCTGTTCTGTATACTACAGACTAGTAACACATGATAAGTTTTTTCTTTACCATGTACCTCTTACATATATCGATCTTTATTCAACATGCCTACACTTTGCTTATGTTCCTAGATTTTGCTGTAGTGTTACTGAGGTCTAATGAGCAAGCCTATACCATAATATGAAACATTCTTTCGCTGATAGAATACGGGATGATGAAAAACATCCTAATGTTGTTTACTATTTGCCTAATTTTACAAATTTACAATTTGCCTTGATTAGATTTGCACTTTGTACAAATACAGTTGTTTCAATGTGCTGTAGCAGTTTGAATTTCATTTTTATGTGGAAGTACATTTCATATTATGTATGAAAGTGCAAATGCACTTAAAGTTTAGAAAGAATCCTAATTTAAGCTACCCTTTATTTCTACTATTCACGTTATTTGGAAATATGTAATGAGTACTTAGACGTGCCCAGATCAATAGATGTTTGTGCTGGTAATGAAACAACACTAGTTGGTATATAATTAAGACTTTATTATCCAAAGATGAATACCTGTTTTAGAATGTGATTAAGAATTATTATATTTATTTTACAGATAGAAAAATATGAGGCAAATATATACTGAACCGCAAAGTCACCAAGAGCTGGAAAAGAACACAAGTCCACCAACTTATATAGCAAGGCATCCTATTCCATGGACCATACTTTTCCCCCAGTCTGAGAGAAATTCAGTTCCCAGAGATCAGGCATTCATAATCCCTGATTTGCAGCATCGGAAGGGCATAAGGAACAAGTTCTTCTCAATGAATAGAGAGGGATGAGGAGGTAAATGCATCCACATACTTAGCATTAGATACCTAAATGCCCAGGCTAGGAGCTTGCACTCCTTCTGTAGTTAACTGACGCTCGCACTCCCTAGGTACAGAGCCTAAAGAGGTACTTTCCTAAATTAGTCTCCCAAGTCAGGTAGCAAAAACTATAAGGCAGAATGTCTTCCAAATAATCTGCA